ATACACACATGCATGTACACACATACATACACACATATGCATGCATACACACATGCATGCATACACACACATGCATGCATACACACACACACACACACACTCAGCATTGAGTAAAACGCTGCTCAGGGGAGAGGGGCACCTTTGCCTTGCAGCTCTTCTTATCCCTCCTCCTTGGCCTATCACATGACTGTACCCTAGAATTTGCATGCCCCAGTTTAAGAAGCCCTGGTGAGAACATTTGCAAAATTCTCTTTGCTTTAAGATTGAATGTAAAAGGCCTAGATGTAGAAATTCACACAGTATGAACTCAAGCAGAGGCCTGGGATTGTGTGACAGAGCACTGAGCTTTGGGGTACCTTAAATTCTGGTTAAGGTTACTGCAGGGAGAAGGGAAGGGAAGGGGTCTCAGGTCCTCTGCCTTTTGCTTCAAACTATGTAGCTTCATTCCATTTGCTTTTCTTTTCAGATTTTGTTTTTAATTTTTTTTTACTATTTTTTTTTCTTTTTTAGAAGCACCACTAATTGAGAGAGAGGAAATAATGTCATTTGACATATAATGTTGAATTTCTTTGAATAAATAAATTTCTTAATTCTATTAGATATTCCTGATATTCATTTTCTTTTTTCTAACAAAATTCTTGTAAAAAATCAGCAAAAAAACCCTAATGTATTAAAATATCACAGTGACTCAGAGCGACCTGAGTCATGATATTACAAGGACTCAGAGCAACCTGAGTTGTGATGTCACAGGGACTCCGAGCTCCTTGGAGCTTTCGGAGTCGTCCATGGACCTGAGGTCTGCCTTCTCACACACACTCCCATCCTTCCAGGAGAGGTAGAGCTTATCTGCTCAGCCATTGTCAGGGAGGGGGGCTCACAACTTTTCCATACCCCATTATTTTGTGGGACCCCTTTCCTTACTAGCAAGTTCTTCCTAAAACTGAACCAGAAAACTCTCCCTGATTATTTTTGCATCAAACTGTGTAGTCCCATGTTACATGTACAAAAAAGCTCAAAACACAGTTATTCCTTGGCTTCAAAATAATCCTACAGCAGAGGTGGGTTCACTGTGAAATTAGGCTTGAATTTCGAGAAGCTCTTGTGAATGAGCCATTTCCAAGGCTCCATAAGGAGCTCGGGCAAAAGTTCTGCAGGATTTTTCTTTTATTAGCAAAAATAAAGTATTTTGATTATTATCAATCAGCACAACTCTTCCTACTCCAGCTTCTCTTTCATTACAATCCCTTCATATCAGGAGGTGTTAGAGAGACGGGCAGATGGAGCTACTGGGAGATTCAGTTGGGAATGAACTTAGTTTGGGTTTTGTGGGGCACATTCACTTGGTTCACAGCAATTTTGAAGTCATCGCTGCCCATTCTGATACATAGAAAGGGCTTCCAGAAACCCCCTGCTGCTCCCTCTGCCACAACACACACATCCGTGGCTAGAGGGCATATAATAGGAACTCATCCTGGGGTGTCTCACACCACACGTGTGTGCTAGAGGAGGTTTTAATGGATGGAATCAGAAATTGTTCATCAAAATTTATCAAATCATCAAATGTGTAAAGTTGTTAAGTGGAAGTTTCTCTAGCCAGTGTTTTTTGTTACCAAGAATGTCCTGGGTAACAGAGCATATACAATTATGAACACCATATATACTCTCTCAGTTTTGCTGGAAATTGCACAAAATATAAATTGATCAGAATTCCTTTATTCAGTGCACGATACCATAGTCATACTATACATGCTGAATGTATCTGAGACAGCTCACAAAAGAAAGGAACATCATAAAGCTTTTCCTCATTTGCTAATAGTCCTAAAACTCTATATGGCATTTTTATTTATTTTTATTGATTTATTTATTTTACTGTAGAATTATCTTTTTATTTTGGGTGAAAACACACAGTAATTTGGGGGTGGTGTAATTAACATTTAACAGCATCACAATTCTAACGAATGACTAAAATATCTTCCTGAGGTAAATATAATATTTTATGAATATTTTGGAACCCCAGTATTAAGACTACAAATAGATATGAGCCCACGTCTATCACCAATGACTCATGCTGTTTCTTTCTAATGAATTGGCCATTATATTTCCAAAGTTCTGAAACACCCAACAGAGAAAGGTAATTCTTTAGGCTCCTGCTTGAAACCAACAGCTTCAGCAAACTGCTGGCCTTGATTCCAGGCCAAGTCTCTATGGCATTTTTAGCGATGAGTAGTGAAACTGAATGAAACTTTCCTAATACTTCATTAATAAAAAAATTCAATCATAATAAAAAAAACACTCATTATCCTCTCTAAAGAAAATATTACAATTTCATTGTCACAAGGTGACTAAAGAGGCTTAAGATTATGCAACTAAAAATGTAGGGAAAGAATGCCATAAAGATCTGTCAGTTGGTTAATTAATAAAAATATCACTGTATAATTTTTCTGGATTTTTTGATGTGTATGACATCTGTCAGGTTTCTGACATTTAATTTTTCTTATTCACTTTTATAGCTAATTTTGCATTTGTAATCTTGTGTTATCTTTCATCAAAAGCCCCTTTGTCACAAGTTTCATGAACTTTAGGTTTTCAAACAATAGATTCACGCTCCACATATTCTAACGCAGTGATTGGGTCTCTGTCTTCGCCTCCCCAGGTAAACATCCTCAGGTGATTTCCATCCTGGTTACACTGGTCAGATCTGTCATCAGCTGATTCACCGCCCTTTGCTCATTAGCTAAGTCCCCCCCACCCCCCCACCCCAAGGAGAATAGGAATGAGCAACTGGAGCACTTCGTAGAAGGCGCAGCACAGATTCCACTGTGTAAAAGCCCATGGGGGCGGGTTGCATCCCAGAATTTCAGTTATTAATTCTATTAGGCAGTAGATTTGCCCTTTAATTTAAGATTTAGCTCCCTTATTTATAAAAGAATGACAAAACCTGGCTTAAAGTTGAATGGGACGGTGCAAAAACAGGTGTGTGAGTCACCTGGCTCAGTCCTGGCTCACAGGAGGACGGTCCGGTGTGTGCTGGTGTTTTTGTTAGTGTTTTTTTAAAAAACCCACTTTTTCCCTGCTGGACCTTTCACAGAGACTGGAAAAAGTTTGAGTACATTTTCCAAATGTGAAGTTTCTCATTTTGTGAGTGACCCGAGGCCTGTATCCCCCTGGTGAGCAAGCAGGCAGATAGAGCAAACCTAGCGGCGGCGGCTCAGGTCAAGGCTGGCGAGGCCGCAGAGTCTCGGGCGGTCGCGCTGCGCTCCGACTCCCGGAGGGCCCGGGGCTGTCCCGGCCACCAGGAGCTTCTGGTGGAGCTTCTGGGGCTTCTCCCGCCTTCTGTTTTTAATCCTGGGCAGGGAGCCAATTATCGGGAAGGAAGATAAGAACAGAAGACATTGTTTAAGCTAATTTATTTATTTATGGGTTAATTATCCAGATAGAGAATCACCAGCAGCTTCGTTTCTGACCGTCTCTTTCTTAGTCATTACACGTTTAGCACATTAAACAGAAGAACAGCCGGGAGGAGAGTTTTGAAGATAAATAGGAATTTTTAGAAGCATCGAAAATGACTTGGAGTTTAGAAAATGAAGGGGCCATGGTTAAAACCGGCTGTAATAATAAGCTGCACGGACTGTTCGCGTTCCCACAGCCTAGAGCTTCGTAAGACACAACGCGCTGGGGGCACAAAAGTGAGGGGTGGGCGGGCTGGGCTCCGAGACGGACCTCTGTGATGGTCACCTTTGGGCCAGATAGACTCTTTGCCAGGGCTGGTCTGCGCGGTGTAGACACGTGTAACCCCCGCCCACAAATGAGCTCCGAGGGTCGCAGAGCGAGAGACCAGCCCCGGGCCGGGCAGAGAAAACTGGCCGTGAGGGTCGGGCGGGCCACCAGCTGCGCTGGGCTCGGAACCCGACGGGGTCCATCATTTTGCGCAGGGGCGTCTCAGGTCGGGATGCGCGTGGACAGAGGCAGGAGGCGTGGGAGGTGTGGTTTGTTCTCTGATGCTGAACCCAGAGTGCCGTCGGGGACGCTGACCACCTGGAGGGGACTCGGTGGCCTGGGTGGCTGTGAACATACCACGTGGACGCGCATTTTGTTTTGCCTTCCACTCTCAAGCCAATGTTTGTTCCTTTGTTGGAAAGTTCTAATATTTTTTTCTTGATCTATTTGCAGTGGAAGGACATAATTTTTTACACATAAACAGGACAAAAAAGACTAAAAGATGCCACACACAGTTCCTTTCTACCTGCCTTTTCATTTGATATTATTATTATATAATATTATTATATTATTATTTCATTTGATTATATTATAGGGTACACTTCATAAAAGTAATTCCTGCTACAGCTGTTAAATGCATGTAGAAAATTAAAGTAATTTCTATGTTTATAGTTGCATGCTTTTCGAAGAATTCACTGTCATCAAAGTGGATGCATGTAATTTAAAGCCAGGTTTCCCTTCCTGCCGAGGGTCTGGATTTCCCTTTTCTTTCTCTCTTTCCCTCTCTCTCTAAGACATAAAAAATATAACTCCTTCTTTTCCTTAAAAAAAAATCTTTGTAGTTTTTCTCACTGCGAGATCCTAATTAAAGTGTTCCATTTGAGGGATTTTTTTCACCAGCCCAAATTCTTGTTAAGCAAATGCTTTATATTTCTGGCTGGGGCAGAAGGCTGCAGTATTCCTGGAGGGCAAATTTGTAAAAGACCACTGAACCCAAATTTACAGCAACATAAATTATTCCAATATCTTAAAATATAGATCCTTCCAGAACTTTTTAATAAGCAGGAATGCATTTGGTCAACAGATTTTAGGGTATCACTTTGGAAAAGTGAAATTGAACCTTGACTTCATCTTTGACAAAGATTGTGCTCTTCTGCTGGGTGAACAAACAATTCCAGCTCCTCTTTATTATAAGGAAAGACAAATTAATTATTCTCACACAACATTTTTTGCAATATCATTTTATACTATGCCTTTTTTGTTTCCTTTTTTGTTTTTAATCTCAGTTATTTCTTTAAAATAAACTCAAAAAATGTTTTTTAAAAAAAGTTTAGATTCTTATTGTCCTTGATGAACCAAATGGATTAAGTCTTTCACTTTTTTTTTTTTTTTTTTTGAGACAAAGTTTTACTATGTCACCCTCGGTAGAGTGCGGTGGCATCACAGCTCACAGCAACCTCAGACTCTTGGGCTTAGGTGATTCTCTTGCCTCAGCCTCACAAGTGGCTGGGACTATAGGTGCCAGCCACAACGCCCAGCTATTTTTTGTTACAGTTGTCATCATTGTCGGGGTTCTCCAGAGAAACAGAACTAACAGAATCTGTATAGATATTTAGAAGAGAGGAAGTATTATGAGAATTGGCTCAGTGTGATGGGGCTGAAAAGTTCCACAGTACTGTCACAGGCCCAGGAACCTGGAAATCCAGTGTCCAAGGACAGAAGATGGTTGTATCAGCCGAGGAGACAGAATGTGCTCTCATTCTGTCTTTCTTTCTAGCCCAGCCCTCAATAAAACAGATAATCCTGTCCATGCTGATGAGGAAGGATCTCCTTCATTTAATCTAAAGATGGAAAACATCATGAAATTAATGTTTGCCAGCTATCTGGTGATCTGGTGATCCCAGTCAAATCCATACAAAATCCACCAGCATGCTTCCCTCCTTGTTCCTCAAACATTCCTATGACTGGCTCTTCAAATATTATCTTTTTGTTTAATTGTTACTTTCTTGGATATTTTCAACATCTCTCTAGTTTTTCACTTCACATCCTGCTCCTTCCTTATGAAACCTCATTACAATTAGTACTGTTGGTTTGGTTTGTTCTCATGGATCCTGCAGCCAGCAGGGCAGGTAACCTCCAGAAGAAGGCAAACCACCCGCACGGTCAGTGCCCAGGACAGGTGGCAGGGGGATAAGTGTTTAAGAGCCACTAAAAGCTGGACAGCTTGATCCAAGCTCTCGCTGTGTCATTTCCGAGACCTCAGAAAAGTCTCTTTTCCTTTACTGTGTGTCATCTGTGAAATGGATATAGTCAGTAATCAATTCAAGGTATTATTCTTGAATTAATATATATATATTATATATATAACTATATATTATTCTTGAATTAATATACAAAAATTGCTTGGGATGTAGTGAGGCCTCATTAAATGTTGGCAAGCTAGAATATCACAGTGTTTGGTACCTAATAAGTAATCTACAAACATTTGCTGAATGAAATGACATAGACCTTTGGTGTCAGGAACACTGGGATTTGAATGCCAATCACATCATTTATGACTTTGACAAAATCATTTAAATTTTTGAATCTCAGTTTTCTTGGTGTATAAAACAATATTGTCTTTCTTTGGGGTTTTTGTAAGAGTAAAATCAGATGCTCCTCATAGCATGTTTTGTGGTACTTTTGTCAAAAACAGAAAGAGCAAAAAAATCCTATTATTCTGCACCTAGAGCCATAAGCTTTAGATACTGTTTCAACTTTAGGACTATGGTGTTCAAATACCCTGGGGCCACTTACACCTGTTTGGGGGGTGACTATCCTTAACAATTTTAGGCATACTCTTTGATTATAAATAACAAAGTCAAGCTAATTTAGCCTAAATTAATGAGGAAATTAGTGAAAGCACATTTACTCTAACTAGAATACTGAACAAGAGTCATCATGGTATGTTCACAGTATAGATTGATGGATTTATTTTTTATTTCCCCCCCCCCATAAACTTCATGAGCTCAATATTTCTCTTTCCTGGATGAAAACTCTGGAAGGTGTTATGACATTTCTTCTCACTCCTTCTCTCTCCAGACTCTCTTCTCACTCCAGATAGTAACTTTAAGTCAAGGCAATTATTTAAGTCAATTATTGAATTAATTTCAATTTAATAATTAGAATATACTGGCATATTAGTTTTTCTTGCTACTATAAAAAAATCACTACAAGCCTGGTAGGTTCAAATAAACATATATATTATACACACACACACACACACACATATGTATATATATGTAGATTAGAATTCCAACAGAGGTCTTACTGTGTTAAGGTCAAGAGGTTGACGGGACTGTGCTCTTTTCTGAAAACTAATCTGCTTCCTTGCCTTCCAGGCTTCTAGAGTCTGTCCACATTCATTGAGTGGTGGCCTCCTCCTCATTCTTCAAAACAAACCACAGGATCAAAAAATATCTGAAAGGTATAACAAGTTATT